AATATTCATTTGCTATTGCTATTATTAAATGATTTCACGTATAAATGATTTATTTACGCATCATATTTATTCCAAATAATCATTTACTATTGCTTATTATTAAATGATTTCACGTACAAATGACTTATTTACATTTATTCTAAATATTAATTTACTAGTACTGCTATTAAACGTCTTGTCTTTTTTTTTTTTTTAATGATAATCTATTTCTAATACTTCATGAATTGATACTTTTGCATAAGTCGAATTTTGATTTATTACATAAGTCATTTCCGTAATTTTAATTAATTATTAAGCATAAAAAACTATGAAATATGCATAATTAAAAGTATAAACATAGCCATAAATTATTCAAAAAAGTATAATCTCTCAATTTTTTGACCATCTTAAAAAGATGTCAAATGAAGGTTCATTAATTATTTGAAAGACTTTTTCATCGACCATTGTTGATAAAAAAAGAAAAAAAAGAAAAACAGATATCATTTTTTTTTTTTGCGATGAATTTTCATCATTATTGAATACACGTGTAACGGGAAATATAATTTAATAAAAGTTTGTAAAACGTTTTAGCAAATAATTTTTGAATTTTAAAATTCAAAAATTCAAAAGTACTTACACTTTTTCCATTGGAATGTATGATAACATGAGATCGTTTTGAAATTTCGAAAAATTGTCCCACACCAGATACACTAAATTATTCCTTTTTTTTTTTTATTAGGATGAAATCTAAAATCCTACATTTTTTTTTCGTTTTTTTTTTGTTCTAAAAAAAGCTTTCGAAATATTCAAATATTTCTTTAAGTTTTATTTTTAATTCAAAATTTTAAAAATTTGAAATATCTTTAGATTTTGAAGGATTTATATTTTTGTGCAACTTCCACTTCTCAAATGGTAACTTAATTTTTGACCTATTTGTAATTTTCAATTCTGGTGTCCAAATCTCCCATTGCTTGACCATTGTCATTCGAACACCATTATGTTCACTTGGCTCCCAAACAGCATATTCATCTTTCCATGTCTTTAATTTTAAAAAAAAAAAAAAAAAAGATAAATAAAATAAAATAAGTTTTTTTTTTTGAGCAATAAAAACGATATTATATGCTACAAATTTTATACCTTATGTTAAAGTATAGCAATATTGATTAATTGATTTTATTAACAAAAATAAACAAATATTTTGGATAAAAATCTATGCTATAAACCATATAAATGTGTCCATTAAGTGTAATCGTTTGTTCCAATTGATTAACAGATAAATGCATAATGTAAATGTGAACTGCGACATCTAATGGTTCGGATACATTCAAAACGGGTCGTATACGTTTGTCATATTTACTTAATACAGTACGTTGTAATTCACTTTGCTCTTCAACATATGTCCGATTGGCTATTTCTAAAATAATTAGCTAAATTAGTTCGTTAATTATTCCCTCATTTATCAGTTATTAGCTAGCAGCTAATGTAAAATAACACTTCATTAAAATCTCTAATAATTTATTACCCACAATATAAAATAATACGACAAGAAATCAATGTTAAGATTTGAAAAGCTATTTAAAAAAAAAAATTAACGGTTATTATTTGCAAAATTTCAAAATCATTAATTTTTTCCAACTTTTTCAAATTTTGATTTCTTTAATTTCTCAAGAATTCTAAAATTCAATCCCCAAAATATCAATTCAAATTTTAGAAATTAATTTTTCAAATTTCACTTTCAACTATTAACTACCTCTTAATGAGATTTATATTTTGTAAATTCTTAATTAATTATCCCAATTACCTATTTATATTTATATAACAAATAAATGGAATGAATAAAATTAAACGGAATATTTTAACAAAATTATTCCATATCTTCAAAATATCAAACATATACAATTTTAGATTCAATGATTCTATCTATCAATTCAAAATTATTTTTTCATCCGATCATTTCACAACCAATGTATCGTCAGTTTAGATAGAATGATTGAATAACCGGAATGATTTGAATGTGAAATTCCGGAAGGAAAAGAATAAATGTATAAAGTTTACCTTGAGCATTTTCCTCTTCCAATTCCTTGGTGGTAAGTTGTGATCGAATAAACGGTATAAATGTAAGTAATACGATAAAACTTATCATTACAACCATAGAGAATATAATTTATTACCATTCGAATATCTTTATTGATAATATCTTTAGTATAATGATACTGTATCGTATCGTATCACTAGTAATTTAAAATTAAATTGTAATTTAATATCGTTAACTTAACACAAAATATCATCAAATAAGTTTTTATATTAAAATTTGTTAATATTATAGGAAGAGATTGCAAAAATGATAGATGGGTGGATCAGATACATCTGTAGAAACATTAATCGAAAGGTAAGAGTGTGGTAATTTGATATGATGATGAAAATGATGATGATGATGATGATGATGATGATGATAATGATAACAATGTTAAAGTAATCATTCATCGATATGTTGGAAAGCAATGAGAGATTAAATTTATTAAATAAACAAAAATGATTGAAATGTAAATTGTTATATTTCACATGACTATTGCAAACACTTTCAGGATTATTCAATTTCGTTTATTTTTTTTTCATCAAAATTATTTAAAATTAAAGATTTGAAAAAAAATTTAAATATTTTGAAAAATTTGAATCAAAACCTGAATGTAATTATAGTTTTTTTCAAGTATACTATTACAAATTTTAATGAATTATTAGAAATTATTTCAAAAAATTTTGGTAATTTAACTTTTTATATAATAAAATTTTTTTTTTTGCTGTTTATACTACAGTAGTAATTAAAAAATACTTTTCTTTGACAATAATTATATCCGTATATATGTAATCTATGAAAAAAAAAAAGTATCACAACTAAATTATTTAATACTAAAATTATTTTTCGTTATTAAAATTATTTCATATTATCTCAAAAATGGTATTATTTTCTTTTCGCAGTATTAATTAATCTTAAAAAATGTTATCCTGAGGAGTACAATTTTACCTTTCATTGATCATAGTGATAAGATGATGATTAATCGTTGGCTACTTTTATCATCGTATACTTTTTAAGTTTATATCACAATTATCAAATCAGGTAATGTGTTATTTGTAACTATGTAAAATGTGATATGATTACAGATCAAAATGGTATTTTTTTTTCGTTTTAAATTATAACTTAACGTAAAGATTTCATTTATTAAGCATTGTCATTCTTTTTTCAAATGCTAAATAAACATATGAAAGCATGCTAAAGGTACGAGGTATATCCTTGATGATTGCTATCAATTGATAATCAGTAATCGATTGATGATAATCAGTATTTACCCATTTTTGAAACTTTCTTTATCGTTGCAACGTTTATTAAATCATCAGTTTGCCAGGTCGAATGAAATTTTCGTCAATCATTTTGTAAATTATTGTAAATCAAAAAAAAACGACAAAATAAAATTATTCAACGTTTCCTTTTTTTTTTTACCTGACACTCTTTTCTTCTTTGATTTAAAATAAAACCAAAAAGACAAATAAATATTTATTAATAAAAAACGATAAAATATTTCATTGCAATAATTACAGTAATAGAATTTTATTTTTTCCTATGTAACAAGAAATTTGGTTTCAAATTTATCAAAGTATTAAATAACAACTTTCAAATATCAAAAATCGTCATTGTCTTTATTATTCCAATTACGACTGTTAACATTGAACAAGGGTTTATTATTGTTTTGATAAATTAATTAATTACGAAAACTTCGAATCAAAAAAAGATGCATTAATTGCGTGAATATAGGTGAATCAATTGATGGCAATTATTGCTAATTAAAAAAAAAAAAGCGATACATAAATAAAGAAATATATAAATAAATCAATTAACAGCACTAAATGCTAGTTTCAGCAGAAACGTATATAAGTTAATTAATTTGTAATTGAAAAAGAAAAACCATCGTAAAATTCAGCAAATTCTACAAAAAAAAAAAAAAAAATACGAGAACAAAAAAGAATTCAAAAGTTTAAAAGTTCAAAGTCAAAAGGAAGTGCAAAAGTTCAAAAATCGACATAAGTTTAATAGTTCATATATTATTAACTCTTTTTTGTCCTCCGTTTCTTTCGTCGAATTTCTTTTATCAATCCTTTTTTTTGCATAATCATTTTTAGTTTTACATTTTTTGATGAATTTTATTTGTAATTGAATGAATGATTTGATAATAATCCTTAATAAGACAAACTAAATATTTGTTTCAAAGCATTTTTTTTTTTGAATCATTGAATTATAAATAGAATAAATCAAAGAAAACTATTGTTTGCATATACATATAAACCTCAAACACTTGTTTAATTTTTTTCCAATTTTGGTTTTACTCTTTTTTTCTTAATTTTAATCTTAATCTTAGTTCTCGCGAACTGTATCACAGTCCTCACGAACCGTATCTTAATTCTCGTGAACTATCTCATGGTTCTCGCGTACTGCATGACAGTTGTCGCGGATGAGATTTTACTTCTCACAAACTTTATCTTAAGTTTTCGCGGACGATAGTTTACTCTTCGCGAACTGTGTCATAGTTTTTGTAAGTGATATCATCTGGATTTGTCATTGTGCCGCTGCGTTTTCGAATTTCGTCCGTAAATTTATCAAATTTAAAGCTGC